GATCTCAGATCACTGGGATCAGGTTGAAGCCATTCTCCTGCCTCAGCCTCCAAAGTAGCTGGGATTACAGGTACTTACCACCATGCCCCAGCTACTTTTTGTATATTTAGCAGAGATGAGGTTTTGCCATGTTGACCAGGCTGGTCTTGAACTCCTGACCTCAAGTGATCTATCTGCCTTGGCCTCCCGAAGTGCTGGGATTATAGGTGTGAGCCACTGAGCAAGACCACCCTATGCTCTTCATCTAAATCAGCCTGGTTTCCCTTTTTTCTGAGGGACAACTTGTTCTTTTCTCTGTATTCCCACTCAGATCTGTAGGATTAATGACATAATCATTCAAGACTCAGAGGAAATCTTCCTAGGGGAAGGTTTTTTAGACTCTGTTTTTCTCTCTCTAAACTCCTAGAGAAAGCCCCATAAATGGTTGCTGAATCCGAGAATACATACAATGTCTGTAACACTGCATTATTTTGTTAATGCTATTTATAGTGTATTGTTTGGATAATTACATTATTTGCCCATTAGTTCATATTTATGTTCTTTCCAACTAGACTGAAGGCCTCATCCAAACAAAAGATTTATCTTCATCCCCTCCTCACAGTGCCTGGCTCCATGTTCAGTGTAGCCATCAACAAACACACATCAAATACTAGCTGAAATTCAGTCAGTAGCAAGAGATCTGCAAAGTCATTTCAGGAAGCTTGCCTTAAAAACCTCTTTCAAGTACAGAACTTTTGTAGGATTATTATTCTTCAAGGGTACAAATGTGTCTCATTAATGCAGCAGATTTACTTCCAAAATTATTCTCCTGTTTCAGATCTTTACCTGAGTCTGCCATCCTCTGCTGCAGCACCTCCTGGTATAATCTTCGTAATAAATATGCCAGGATCATCTCCGATGTGGGGATTATCTGTCCCCCCAGCAATACTGAAGCCCAGGCCAGAATTCCCCTGTAGAAACAAAAAGCCGATATTAAATGATGTGTCTGTCACCTAAAACCTAGTTCCTCTTGCTCTCCACATTATCATATTACTACTCAAATGGAAATCAGGTGACAACAGTCTTGTATGCTAAACCATAAGTGCACAGTTAGCAGACAAAGGAAGGTCAGGAAAAACACTCAGGTTTATTTCTGCACTGTAAGGGTGCAAGAGGCATTATATTTTTGCTTTTAAAAATTGCTTCCTTTATGGAGCTATTAAAATCCCTTTATGAAGCAGGAGATGAAAACTTATAAACTGTGTAATATGAAAAATATAAAGAATCATTAGAATATCAATTGCAAAAATTATACATTCATGTGAAAAAGCATGGAAAAAAGTTACATGAAAGTATCTGATTTAATAGAAGAGTGAGCTTGGGTGTTTTCATTTTCTTATTTCTGGTATTGTTGTTCTATTATCACTTATCTGTCAAATAAATGTGTTTCTATGTAACAGAAAACTTCCACTTCAGAAGACAGGGCCCCCTTCTAGAGTCATAATAAACTAGAGATACTTTTGAACAATAAACAGGCTTTAATTTGCAACAGCAATAGAAAAGGCATGCAATAGCGCTGTAGCATGTAAATCTGAGTAGTTTGTATTCTAATAAAGCTTTCATACTTACTCTTGTAGATTATAGTAATTGACATCCACTGTGTGTGTATATATACATATACATATTCATATATGTGTTGATCTCCTTCTAAAGATATATAGATCTAAGGATATATATGCACATATGTATGGAAGGATGTGTATATATATCCTTCTAAAATTTGTTTGTAAGGCAAAATTAAAAGTCCCCCCCAAATCCACAAACCATCTTATCTCTTATTTAGTCTCTTTTAATCCCTCTCTCCATGGCTACATATGATTTCACAACTGTGTTGTAATTTTTTCCAAATCACATTATATTTTAAGCCCTTTCTGTGTCATAGCTAGGTAGTCTTTATTTTATTTATTTATTTATTTATTTAGAGATGGAGTCTTGCTCTGCTGCCCAGGCTTGAGTGCAGTGGTGCAATCTCGGCTCACAGCAACCTCCACCTCCTGGGTTCAAGCAATTCTCCTGCCTCAGCCTCCTGAATAGCTAGGACTCCAGGCATGTGCCACCACGCCTGGCTAATTTTTGTATTTTTAGTAGAGACAGGTTCACCATATTGGTCAGGTTGGTCTTGAACTCCTGACCTCATGATCCATCCAGGTAGTCAGTCTTCATAATTATTCATCGTAAATGGCTTGTCATGTTTCATCAAGGTCACATATCATCACTTATTTTAACAATCCCTTGTCACCAGATATTAAATTTCTCTACATATTCTTATAACAAATAGAACTTACTAAATTTATGATCACTTGATTAATTTCCACTCTTGGGTAAAAAGAGATGAGGACTACAAATTTAGTAGTTATTCCAGCAAAATTAATTAGGGCACTCGATTAGTCAGAAAGGTTCAATGTCAAGATCAGCTATAACTTGATAGCTATACCACTGCAAGTGTCAAGGTAATGTTTAGCAATTTTTATTGACTTAATTAATAAAACTGAATTCCAGAGGGTTGTTTTTACAATTATACACGTATTACATACGTTGAAAGGGTGAAATGAATAACTCAGCTATGGCAACTAAAATCCCACATCTTCATACTTCTGATGTCTTCTCTAATTCTGTTTGCCCTTTGAAAAATTTCAGTGTTCACTGAACAGAGCTATTACTTAATAGCAGTCATATAAACACAAATTTATTTAACATTTATTAAATATAACCTCTGTGCCTGGTACTGGACTAAGTCCTGGACTTACAGTAATAAAAATGTCAGTTTATGAGGCACATGAAGGGGAAATGCAAGTGTAGGAGTGGCTAAGAGGAGAACCAAACACAAAGACTTAGTGACATAGCGGGAAGAACTCATGCAAAAGCCCTTAGGTGAGAAAGGGCATGCCCGACCCAAGGAACAGACAATAAAGTTGGAACAAAGAAAGCAAGAAGGAGAATTGGATAGATATGCCTTAATCATGAGATTTACAAAAGCAGAATGTATGAGAAAGCATTTTGGATTTTAAATACTTATTGACACCAAATGATTGTGTTAGTATTGGTTGAGAATTTCCTATGCAACTGACTAAATTAAGGCTGTAGAGGTTAAGGCCAGATGATTTCAGCCTTCATGGATACTCAAAGCATAGCAGAAAAAGCAGTGACACTCTGGTATCTGGTGATCAGTATATTTCACATACTGTGTAACGTCAACTGCACTGTCAAGTAAGTAGCCATGGAGATAGTGTTTAGCGGACTTAATGAGGCAGTTCTCAAAGATCCAGAGGTTTGGGAAAGAAAAAATGGAAGGATGAGTATTTTCAATGTAATTTGGGTCAAACTCTAAGTACATCAACTAGAGTGTATTCGTTTCACTGTAGTTAGCATCTCAGAAATAATAATTTCTTGATTAATGAGAGTAGGGAAGGAGGCAGACAGAGATTGGGTGATAACCAAATGCTTTCTCCTAATAATGTCAACACGTTTGGAGAGGGTACTCAACACTTTGTCATCTGAGAAAGATATTCATGATCTAACTCTTAACCTTGTCAACTTTATTTCCAGCTTCACACCTTACCACGCCGAAACAATGAACTGAACTGCAGGCTCTTTTCTGCACAGACCTCACTATATTTCATCTCTTGGTGTTTATTCATGCGATTTTCTCTACCAGAAACTTCACGTCTTCTTGACTAGCTGAATTCTTTCCACTTTCGAAGATGTGACTCAGACAGTATCTGCTCGAGGTAATACTAAATTATCACCCCAACTCTTCTCTAGATACATCACTTTTCTGTGTTTTTGCAGATTTTTAGGCTTCCTTGTGTTATGCATTGTGTTATTTTGTAGTTGTCTGTTTCGGAATCTATCTTTCCTTTAAATTGGGCTTGTAGAAGGCAGGATCTGTGTAGTATTCATCTTTGTTTAATTGGAGACTTGTCTAGCACACAGTATTGACACTAAATACCTGATGAATGAATGAACAGAAAAACCAGCCTACTAAGAATGTTTGTGCCCTAACAAGAAGACTCAAAATGGACACAAAAGAAATGTGCAATGTGTTAAGGAATACAATGTCGAAGTAGAAGCCATTTTGCTCTATGCGGCTGCAAGAATAAAAAAGTAGAAAGCTCAGGCATTCAAATTGTGGCGCAGCTAAAGGCTGACAGATAAGATAGAAGTGTTCAGGTTGGAGATGCACTATGCTGGAAGGGATAGAGGGTCCTTCACTCAAGAGGTATTTGGCTAGTCACTGGGCATAAGGGACTCAGGCATCTATTGAAAGGTTAAAGTGGATGATTTTAAAGGATTCTTTTGGTAAATGTAGGAAGACTGTTCTTGCCAACAGAGAAAAGGGGATGTTTTCGGGACATTTAGTTGGGGGGGGGCGTAGATAACTGTCAAATTCTTAAAACTTAATCTGTGAATCAACGTATCTTTGAAATAATAGCTTTGATATCAACTTAGAAACATTTAACCACTTTTTTTTTTTTTTTTTTTTTAAGAATTGACTGCAACATGGAGAAAATTGTGGCTCTGCCATTTTCTAATGTACATTCCCCAGTCCCCAAACCCACTCTGAGGAAAAGAATGAATATATTTAGGAAATCTACAATGGAAAACAGGTAGGTAGAGACAGAAGGTGTAACTTGCCCTGTATTTCTGGTCCCAAAGGATCCCTGAAAGCTTTTGTGTTTCAATTAAAACTAGCCTGCCAGCTGGGTCTGGCCAGTCACCTGGTTCTTTACCAGAGATTCATCTGAATTCCGCCAAGGAAATGATTTAAAGAGCTTTCACCTCCCTTTATTGTTCTCTTCCAGCCTTCCCTTTTAAGTCTTTGCTACCAGCCAGCAGCATTTAGTAGAAAGAAGGACAGATGCAAAAGTGTCAGTGAAATTGCTGCCTGCTGCTCTCTACAGCTAAATCACTTCAATCCCCTGACAATCGTCCCAGAGCCTGCCAGCTGCAGGGACAGATCTCAGCTCCTCTCTTCTCTGAGCAGCAATCTCTCCACGTGAACAGGCAGACCCTTGGTTGACACTCTTAGATCCTAAAAATTGTGACTAATTAACTGAGTGTTGATCCCTGATGCAGTCAATGGAAACTTCGAAGTGCCATGCTGGTAAGGGCAGTCCCTGTAAAAGGGTTCTGGGTGGAATGCTGTGTCCTTGCAGTTGGGCAGATTCCATGATGGATGAATGTCACTGGCATGGACCATTTTTTCTCCTAATTGTTCACATTTGCTGACTCTTCCCAGGAGCACAAACGCATTCTCTAGCCAAATGGCAGTTCCTGTTTCATATACTACACACCATCTCCTCACAGAGAGAGAATCCACAAAAAGGAAAGACGGTTTTCAAATATTATAAATATAATGTCTCCAGGAAAGCCCCACTTTTATTAAAAGTTTATTTCCCAAATGAAAATTACTCTCAAAATGGGGTTATATAACAATAATAATAAAAAAGAAATAGCAATGTTATAATCACAGTCATTTATATATAATGTTCTACTAACAAGGAATTTTTATTTCTAGAATTTTCCTACTTTAAAATACTGCTTGACCTGATCATTTGATTCTAGGATTTTATTCTAAAGAAATAATCAGAGAAGCATGAAAAGATTTGTGTTCAAGGCATGTTGCATTGTTTTTCTATTGTTAAAAAAACAACTGAAAACTGACATCCATATAATGGAGAAATGATTAAAATACTGTGGTACATTTATCTGAACGTGTGGATAGTTTGGAGTCATTAAAATTGTAATGCTATTGAATAATAATGACATGGACTTAACCCAGGTGCCCATCAATGGTGGACTAAAAGAAAATGTGGTACATATATACCATGGAATACTACACAGTCATAAAAAAGAATAAAGTCATGTCCTTTGTAGCAACATGAATGCAGTTAGAGGCCATTATCCTAAG